GAATCAAATTCCTACTTTCTGGGCAAAGTTTTATTTATTGGTGATAAAATGTGAGTTTTCTGCTTCAAAGATAAAGGACTGGAATGACTTTTAAAGGCCTGGGTAGCCCGGGATAGTTAGTACAAAACTAAATTTTAATGAGTTAAGTGTAAATGAATTAGAAACATGCATCTCAGATTTCTTATTAAAATATACATGAGGTTACAGGTTATGAAGAAAAATGCTTGGCAACATACATCTTAGCAGTTGCCAATCTTAAAACATTTGAGACATTTTATCAGTTGTCCCAACAGCAGATGGAAGCTGCTGGTTTCTTCCATCCTTTGCTTGCATCGCTGAGTTCTTTTACGGTTAAAGTGCTTTTCCTAGATTAACTTCTTTAGCATGTGGCTCATTTGTTATTCATAGGCACGTACAGAACAAAGTACAGAGTTAATATTTCCCCAAGATTGTAGAGGATGTATAATATCTTCAGCTATTTGGTATCTTATCAGAGAGAAACTGCAACCCCAGGCATACTCTCTGTGTGTTCAAGAAGAACACCTCCATTGCATGCAAACTTATGTATGTACTGATTACCCGTGAGCACATAGGATCATCTGTGAATGCCAAGGAGTCCATATGAGTAACCAGGACCCTGCTATAATTTTGCTTTCTATAAATATATTTTAAAACCTTGTCTTTTCAGGATTTATGTTTAAAAGAGCTGGCCATGCTTTTTTTTTTTTTTTTCCAAAGAAAAGTAGAAAGTGGAAATTCCTTTGTTGTTTTACTGCATGTGTCAGAGGAAATGGAATACCTGCTTGCACACAAATAACTGTTTTTGCTACCTTGAAGTTTGGAGTATTTTATAAAGAACACTACAACAAAAATTGTCATGAGAAATAATCGCCCTTTCATTTTGTGTTGTGCCATATTAATTCATAGTCTTTATTATCATCAGGTGTTCTGTGATTGTCCATAGTGTGCATGTAAGATAGTCAAACACATTAAGGTCTTTGATTTCCACATGATGTCAAAACAAATCATTGAAGACAGTTGTTCCAATCATATTAGGTACTTAAGTGCCATTGTCTTTACAATGAAAACATTGTACGACTGTACTTATTTGGGTCCAAATTATAGTGCCCCCCACCCCCCAAGATCGAATCCTTGTTGTTCCCACCCTAAATCTTCCATCCCATTTCCTAATAACTTACACTAAGCACTTATTTCAGATTTTACTGGTCTGAATAGTCAGTATGTCATTTTATTTGATCTATACAACCAGGCTGTGAAAATGGCTGATCAGACAATATAAACCACATCATAAGAATGAGGAATCAAATGACTGTGTGACCTTGGAAAATCTCCTTACTCCCTGAGCATCAGTGTCTTTATTACAATACCTGCCACATCAACTGAGATTGTTTGGGGGAAGAAATGAGAGGATGCATATAAATATTGTAGCACAGTTCCTGATGCATATTAATGATTTTATAAGTATCAAATATTATAATAATAATTATTATTATTGCTGCTTAGGATGTCTTGATTATTAATTGGTGCAATCAGCATCAAAGTCTAGGTTTTCTAATTCCTTGTCTGGTGCACTGCAGGCTCTCCATTGCCCACAAGAAAATTTCTAAACATAAAACAAAAACTTCTGTGTTCTCCCTCCTGTTTATTTTGCTAGCCCTATGTTCTCCAGCCCCTTACCCAGTGGCAGTCCAGCCAAGGCAGGCTGCTGGCAGACACTTTCTCCTACTCTTTCAGAGTACAAACTGTGTTCAGAATTTCTTTCTGTTCAATGAACTCACATAAGTCTTCAGGACACAGCTCAGGTGGTAAATAAGAAAACCTTGCAGACCCACTGACAGGACTTTCTGCCTATTTCCATAGATTTTGTTCATCTCTGTTTCACAACCATCATCTCATTTTGAAACAGTTTATTGTCTCTCTCTCCTACACAAAACTGTGCACTCTTTGAAGCCAGGAATTCTGTTTTATTCAACTCCAACCTCTATTTCTGTTGGTTAATATTTGTTGAAATGACTCTTAATTGATTTTTCCCCCTACATTATGCTGCCACAGATGCTCAGGATGGCTTTGGCAGACCATAGTTTTGGAATGAGGGCTCTAAATTTAATTAATATTCACCCTGATAGATCTTGTTCCCCTGGTTAAATATTGGTTCCTATTCCTAGAGAATGTCTTGCTTGTTCATCTGATGATGGACAAGTAGACCGGATAAACTCTAAAGTTTTCTGTGAACATTGTTCAACTTTGTACCAAGACTGCCTACTCTTTACCTTCATTTCCTGAGAGTTTCCCCCTTGTTCACAATGTACCAGCTACCCTGATGTTCTTCTAGTTTCTAAGCACGTCAAGCTCTCTTTCTTCCTCATAGTATGGGCACGTGCTATACTCTGCTTAAACGAGTCTTTCCCCATCTTCACACAGCTGCCTCCCTCTCATCCTTCAGCACTCATTGAATATCAGCTTCTTCTGTGAATGTGAAAAGTCAGGTAGGTCCCCTGTTATCCTCCTTCCTAGCTCCTTGATTCTTCTCTTTCTTTTTTTTAATCATGATTTGTAAGTATTTTACTTATTTGTTTACTTTATGTCTGTCTCTCACATTGGAAGTAAGTTCCATGAAGGGAGGGCCCAGGTCTGTCTTATTGAGTATTATGTAACAATAGTCACAATAATTACATATTGAATGGATAAAGAAAGAAAGAATGAACACAATAAGCATGGATGTTATATATTGGGGTGTCTATCAAATAGAACTTTTTAGTAAACTAAACTACTTTAGACCACTGAGACTTTACACAGAGAAACAGTCAAAAGAAGTCAATCTGTCAATAAGCCTGTAGTCACTCCCCAGTCATTTGTTAAGCAAACTCTGTTAGGTACAGCACTAAGTACAGGAGATGGACCTGGAGATAGACCATGCCATACCATTGTTCTTAGGATTATGAACAAAAGACTATGTGATTTAATCTTCAGACTTTCTCAGCTTGAGGCTCCTATTTCTCTTGTTAACTCTGAACCAGCCATATGATCTTCTTTCTCCAAAATGCCTTTCCCCATACCACAAATATTACCCCACTTTACTCATTAGAAAACATACACAAGATCAATTTATCGGATTCTCTCACGTGCCCCTGCTGTTTCTTGTCTCTTTGCTAATCTCATCGAAAATTTCCCTTTATTGCCAGGCTACTTTTGGCAGTAGACCTCTGCCTTCCCACAGTCTTCCAGAACTCTTGTGACTTTCTCTAAACCAAACAAAAACACACACTTTTACCTTGAACGCCTAATGTAACTTGGAGGATCATTCTACAATTTGTAGTAGTTCCTAATAATAAAGTAGCTGCATTTCCTTCAGAGATCATGGTGGATATTTGAAAGACTATGAAAGGCTCATTAGGGTGAATAAATTCCCTAGTGCCAGAATGCTTTTTGTAATATAAATAACATTTTTACTAGTTATACTTATCAAAAAGAATTTAAAGGAATTAATCTTAAGAAAAAATTGTGGAGGGATGCCTGGTTGGTTCAATTGGTTAAGCTTCTGCCTTCAGCTCAGGTCATGATCCCAGGGTCCTGAGATGGAGCCCCACATTGGGCTCAGCAGGGAGTCTGCTTCTCCCTCTCCCTCTGCCTCTCCCCCGGCTTGTGGGCTTATGCTCTCTCTCTCTGTCTCTCTCTCTCACTCACTCCCAAATAAATAAATAAAATCTTTTTAAAAATGTAGAATTTATGGTTCATCTTTCCTTGCCAAACAAGAACCTTTTTGAGGGCATGTTTTGACTGCATTAACATCTATGTTGTTTGCATACAGTTCGTAAAACAGCATTGAAGACAGTCTCCAAATTCATCAAGACATACCTTATTGTTCTCCAATATAAGTTGGTAATTAATACAGCTTGCTGTGCTTCTAGTATGACTTTTATAAACATAACCTTACTGTATTCACCTTCCAAAATTGAAAAGTGAGAACTAGCTTTTCTCCATTTAACTTTTTCTAGTTTCTGCAAGATGATGCTCATGTTACAGTTAAACATCAGTTGTATAGCTTTCTCTTTCTTTAGCTATTAGTCCCTTAGGTATAACTCTGTAATCAAAAAGAGGTCAACTGTATCCAAATAAAAATATGCCAGAATGTCTCTGGCATAAATCTCTCCCTAAAGATTTCAGTAGTGTTACTTCAGGAGACAGAGAAAAAGTAGTATGTTTTATCTAAAAATCTAAGAAACTTAATTCATTAAAAAAATAAAGTACTAAGTTATCCTTACAGAGAGCTATGCAAGCATAGGGTCTCCATGTTACTCATCAAGTTGTTTTTCTTTTTACTAGGCTTTGAAAGAACTTGAACAGTCACAGGAAAAAAATTCTGCTATATAGGAACCTATATGGCTACTATTGATGAACACTTCCCATATTGCTATAAAATATAGGGAGAGCACAGTAATTCAAATTCAATTTGTGCATCATAGTCATTGCCCAGTATCCAGTTAATTTCAGAAGCAATTGTGGACCAGTTCTTGGCAAAATTATGAAGTAGATGGAAAACATTTCTTTCACTGTATTTAGATGTCAGTTTTCTAAGCTTCTGAACTTCTTCACTAATAATTGTTCTATTCCTAACAATGGGCTTAAGGTGGAATGCCCAAGGGTATCTGCATTTTACTTGCCCTACATATAAATCTAGGTTTGAATTGATCTTATCTTGAATCCCAGAAGCTTTCCATCATTACAGTGGGAAATGAGTCCCAATGGAGTGACACTGAAACTTGATTTCCATGGGAGCATTCCTCTCTGTTCATACATTGCCTAAATCGGATGTCATTTAAGACATTTCCACCACCAAGAAGCTTTTTATTGAATGCCTCCTATTTGCAAATGATCGTAGAAAGTATTAAGTCCACCATGGTTAGTGCCATTAGTTTCCACATGTTCAATTTACTTTTGTTTCTTCTCCTTTTCTCTTTCATTATTAACTCATTTTTCAGGCTGGTGGTTTGATGCTTGTGGCCCCTCCAATCTAAATGGAATGTTCTACACTGCTGGACAAAACCACGGAAAACTGAACGGGATAAAGTGGCACTACTTCAAAGGGCCCAGTTACTCCTTACGTTCCACAACGATGATGATTCGACCTTTGGACTTTTGAAGGCATAATGTCAGAAGCAGTAATAAAAGCAACAGAGAAATCTGAAGAAGCTACCAGACAAGAAACTGCTTGAAAACTTCTGAAGCAAACGATAGTGTCTCCCTTCCAGCTACAAGTGGCAGTTATGTGAAGTCACCAAGGTTCTTGACTGTGGATTTGGAGCCTTTTGAGTTCACAAGAGTCTCCTGATGGGGTTAACCGTGTTCATATGGCTTGACTATGGAGAATGCCACTCACTATCATGTTTTAAAAAGGGAAGAAACTGTTCAGTTCACTGTGCTTCAAACTACTACTGGATCTTATTTTAGAACTATGGTAGCCAGATGACAAATATGGTTTATTTCATGTGAAAACTGAGAAGAAGGAGGAGGAGGAGGAAATGAACAACAAAAAAAGAAAAATATACATGAAGAATACAAACAGGCCTGCCATAATCCTTTGGAAAAGATATATCACACCAGTGAAATGGTGTTATTTCTATGCAAACCTACTAAAAATCAGTTTATACTGTTGCACAATTTTAATAAAAGTTTAGGAAGAATAAGCATTGCCCTCTAAGTTGGTTAAGTGTTAATGGATTCCAGAAGCCTAACTCTTTAATCATACTTACTAATTGATTTCAGTTAACCCATCTTCAAATGTAAATTCCATTTTGGTAAACCATAATGAATTGTAGTACATGAAGAATAATAGTATGAGGTAGAAACATGCTCCACTTACTCTGATTTTTGATATAGTTTTCAGGAAAAAAATGGACATAATCAAGTATGGACATATGAGATAAAAAATTATCCCCCCATGCGACAGTTTTCATTTACTTTAAAAACTGACTGATAGATATTTATAGCATGAGTAAAGTTTAAAGAATGTGAAATACACCATCAAGCTCTTAAAATAATATACATGCATTTAATATTTCCTTTGATATTATACATGAGAACAGTATTTTCAAGTATATTAAGTTGGAGTAAAACCAAGGAAGCTGGAACGGTTCATTTGACAATATCTTCCTGCGTACTGTACACTTAAGCGTAACCTCATTACTTTTAAAATAATGATTTCAATTCTTCATTCTGTTATTTCATGCTAATTTAATTTTTGCTAATTAACTGAAACATGCTTTCCAGATTCACCCTGTTCCAGTTTCTATGAGAGATACACTTTGAAGTCTATAAAAATAAAAGAAGAATTATAAATATCATTGTACATAGCATGTTTATTTCCATGGTAAACCTAATAGCTGTTTAATCTGGAATATGCAACATTGTCCTTAATTGATACAAATAAACACAAGTTTTCAGAGAAATCTACTACATTATTTTATGAAATACATTATTTCTTCACATTTGTCTCTCTCAAGCTCTGTTTTCGTAGGCAATTTCTGATTTTTAAAAAATTATTTAGTGGAGAAAACTGCCAAAACTCTGTATTAAACATAAAGAAAATACACAAAAAGAAAATCAATCATAGTCACCTAAAAAGTTCTGACTGCTAGCTACTATAACTCTCTTAGTGAAAATATTCCTATGGGATAATCTATTTTAAGTGAATTTGGGGGCACAGGTTTTTGTGGCAATTTGAAGTTGCTACAGTATTTTGTCAAAAAGTGCTTTCTGCCTTTAAGTGTGCAAGGTTACAGTAGTGAAGCGTTTTTATCAAAATGTGAGTTACTACATGAAAACTGAAATATATATTAGATATCCTTTCTTAGAAAAATAAGTTTTTTTCAAAGCAACAATACAGATTGCCTCCATTTGAGAGAATAAAGCTATTCCATTTTTAAGAAAATGTTGTTAAAATTTACCACCACATCTTTATGTTTATGGATTTGTATACAACCCCATTTTGCCTTACAAGTGATATTTGCTGATATTACACAGTCTTTCTGTTCTTGGTGACTCCTTCATAGCACTGTTTAGCCCCTCCCTCTAAAAGCCTTCTCGATTGTTTTCCTTTAAGTGAATGAAAGTGAGTGTTTTGTTCTTTTGTGTTCCTACAGATTTTTGTTACCAGTCTTTTGATAAGAAATAGTACTTCCCAACTCATATTACAAAAATAAAATGAAATAATGAAAAAAAAATGAAAGCATGATATTTACTATTTTGTTATCTGGGTTTGAAAAATGAAATATTGTTTCCAATTATTTATAATAAAGCAGTATAAAATGTTTTATGACTTCATTATGTGCATTGTGTAATGCCTACATGTGTGTGACTGTTTAAAATGTATATCTTTTACATTTAATTATTTCAGGATAAGATAATTAGGTATTAGGATTTCGTCTTTAAATTTTTATCTCAAAATTTATGTGGTTTCTATGCCAGTTCTTCACATCAGTCACAGCTTTATTTGATTTAAATAAAATTGAAAATAATGTAGTTGTGCAACCTCATCTCATTTTAAATAAATGTTTTACAAATTTTAAATTAGATATCTATAGAAGTATGGAATCATCGGGGGGAAAAAAAACTACTAAATGAACTAAAGCCTCAATCTTTGAAAACCTTCCAGTCTGGGATGTGATAAGAAAGCTTAGCTCCGTTAAAATGGTAGATCAAAGCACTGGATCTTGGTCCCACATCTCTACTGTATCATTATATGTCCCGCTAGATACTGAATGCCATATATCATATGACAATTGACAGTAATTTCTGTGCACTCTGAATTGGAATTCTTATTGGATGTGTTGAATATTTGAGATTGGTATAAAAGGGAAGGAGCTTAAAGGAGATGCTACCAGCCCATCAAGCCTGTTATCCTATCAGTGGTTTTATCAGTTCAGTCCCTATTAAGGAACTTTCTTACTTTTCCCCTTGATTCCATGCCCATTACCACCACATTGATTTGACAATTTATTAACTTCCACCTACATGATTAAAAAAGATATCCTTTCTCCTGTTGCCTGCTTCCATTCACCCATAATGACACAAGCTTTTTCTTAAAGCCAGACTTCTGAACACATTTCTTCCCGGCTCAAAACCCTTCAGTGTGTCCTCACTACTGCCTGAATTTGAAATAAACATGTCAGGTTAACCCCGGCCTGCATCACCAGATAGCTTCATTCCACCTACTCCATATTTCAGCCAAAATGGAGAAGCCTCTTGTGGTAGACTAATTACAAATATGACCCCTATTCTTCCCTCTCTGTACTCATGCCCTTACAATGTGACCTTGCAGTTCATCCCATAGAAAGGTGGAGTCTATTTCCTTGTTTCCTGAATGGCCGGCTTGAAACTTGCTCTAGCCCAGAGGATGCAGAAGTGCCTGTGTATCACTTCTGTGCCTAGATCTGAAGAGCCATTCCGCTTCACCCTACCTCAGCCTGGAGAAAAAGCCTAGGGTAGCCTAACGGAGGACTGGGGATCACAGGAAGCAAGACTGAGTTTACCAGCTGTGACCACCCTAATCCAACCAGCCCCCAGCTAACCCTGCAGATGACCCCCAATATACAAGTGATCTCAGCTGAGATCAGCCGAGCCTGACTCAGATCAGCAGAACTGCCCAGCATAATCATGAGAGACAGTAAGAGGTGGCTGTTTTAAGCCACTATATCTTGATGTGTTTTGTTAAACACCATTGTGGTAGCAATAGCTAACTGATACAGAATGATGCAGCAACCCCCAACCAACACACACATGAGATTCTTATGAATCCTAAGGTTTCAGAACCACTCCCTCAAATGATGTTCTCTTCTTTCAGATGGGCAAAAGTTCTAACAGTTCTCTATGGTGCATCCAAATATTAGCTGCTTCGTGACACTTCTTCTGATGTCTTCTGTTAATTGTCACCCTCTCTGCACTCACAAAGCTCTTAACACATTTTGTTTGAGCTTTGTTTTATATTCTCTACTGTTTTATAAGAAGCTATCTCTTGGTCATTTTGTTAATACCCACAGTACCTAGTAGACCCTTGTCATTTGTTGAGTGGAATTGAATTGCTCAGCAAGATTAGGAAATCCCTTCTATCTATACAAAATTCAACATCCAAAGATTTGACCACTATCTTAAGCCATTTATTTTCAGACTAAACTTAGCTCATTTTTGTCCAGAAAAAAAAAAAAAAGATGCCTAAATTTATAATTTATAATTGTATTCAGCTCAGAAATTTACTTCATTACCAACTTTGCAGGAGCATATATGCTGTGTAGATTGAGGGAGGTCTATATGCTTCTTTTAACTTTATAATTATGTATATATATGAAATGTATTGAATAGTAATTACTCATTTTTATTACACATTTATTATTGTTATTATTTTAACATAAGATAATTTTGAATTTAGATATATGTATTTGAGCTTTGGGATTTAAGGTTCAACTGAAGTCTTTTTTTCTAGTTGATTTTGCTCTTTTAATAAGGGTAGTCTCTTCTAACTCAAGGTCAGTATTTTCTCATGAATTCTTCTGATCATTACTTTATTAATTACTTACCTTATATCAGCCATTGAGGTTAAAATTAAAATTAAACATAAAAATACAAGTGAACATAATAAAAGGATTCCTAGAAATACTGACATTAAACAAGTCATTACATCTCTTGCATTCTTTCAAGAAAGAAACCAGTAGCCTCATCCCAAATGGCAGATAATGGTTAAGGCTTAATAGCTCCCAGGGCTTTGCATTTTACCCCAGGAAAAATAATCTCAAACTCTGATGTGTTAACTCTCATTTTGATGAGAAATGTGATAGGATATTTTATTTTATCTTGTTTTTGTGGAGAGGAGAATGACTCCTGATATCATCTTTTAATGGCAACCTCCTACTTCATCCACTATTAAGACTGATCTGCCTCCTGCCCATCCATTCACTCTATCTCGGCCTTCATGAGGAGTCGATGTGCATGTTGTGATGGTGGGAACCTGGAAGGTACCACTGTCAGCTAGTTCTGCCACAGAACTGTAACTACCCTACCTAAGTTCCTCTTATGCAAATTAATTTTTTAAATAAATATACATCTGCTTCCTAGATATGCTGTAAGGAACCAGAATCAATTAAAAGAAAAGGGAGGAGGAGTACTAAAACATTGTAGTCAGAAATGGATTTAAAAGAAAATATTATAAGCAGGGACTATTCATTTGTGTGCACTTTAATACAATGTGTAAACATCAAAACAGTGATGTAAAAGATTAGAGAAGAAAATCATTAAGGTTCTAAATGAACTTAACTATTGCCATTAGGAGAAAGGTACAACCATAATAGTCATAATGAGATGCTGGATTATAGTTACATAAACCCTTCCTTTGGGAAATTATTTTATAACTTTAATGGCAGAATGGGAATTACATTTAACAAACATATTGAGCAATTACTACCATCCAGATGAAGCATTAGGTAGAAAAATTTTAATTAATAGAATTAAGCTACAAAAAGAATACTGAGACAAGAGTGATTAAGTCGGCTAAAGGTTGTGCTGTGTGTAGCTGTGCATAATAATGTGTAAAGACAAAAATGGGCACTCAATAATAAGTTTTATTTATACGTTTTTTTAAACTAAAGGAAACACGTAGGCCTCTCTCAATTTACATAATCCATTTCACAAAAGATGGCATCTGTGCTTTATTTTTAAAGTTTATTGGGAGTTTACAGAGAGACAAAGGAACCACAAAGGCATAAAGATGTCAGAAAGCATGGAGTTATGGGGAACTCCAAATGGTTCAGTATGAATGGACCATAAAGTTTCTTTGAGGGAAGGGTAGCAGGAGATGAGGCGGGAGATAGGGCTAGATAACAAAGGACTTTAAGTCCTGTTCTTAAGCTTAGGCTTTATTTTCTTGTTAAAGGGAGACAGCTGAAGGGTTTTACAGACTTTAGGAAGACTATACCAGTTGTAATTAGTAGAAGAGTTGGAAGGGAGTAAGACTGGAGAAGTTCGGATCAGTGAAGATGCTATTCTATAAGCCTGTTAGGATGAGGATCTGAGCTGTACAGCAGTGACAGTAGGAATTGCCTGGAGAGGCTGAATTTCGAGAGATCCTAAGGGAAAAAAAAATAAGACTTTAATGACTGGATGGAAGGTGGGCAAGAGGTGAAGATTATTTCAGGTTTTTGTCATGATTGATTCAATAGAAAGGGACACAGATGTCCAAAATAGGAAGCATGGGCTTTGAAGAGTAGTTAATGAGTTAGCTTCTACATGTTGAATTTGAGACGCTAGTGATTCAAGTTTGGCAGTTGGATATATGAGTCCGAGCTCAAACAGCTAAAGGGACTCTAGAGTATCCAAGCAGAAGTGAAAAATTACTAGATGAGATTATTGCAAGAGAGAATATAATAAGATAGAAACTAGCTGGAACATAAACATTTTAAAAAGCAGGTAAACAAGGAGAATTCAAAAAGAAGATGAGAAATTGTGACTGGTCAGACAAAAGGAAAAACCAAGAGGGAATGACATCATAGTAGATTGCATTAATAATCAGGGATGCCTAACTCCCCACAGAGGGTGGGAGGTACTGTGATTGCAATGTGTCCATTGGGTTTAACATTCCAGGGTGAATTGGTGATTTTTTATGGGGGGGCCTTAGAGGCATAGGGGTTAGAAGCTAGCTGGTAAGAGGGTTCTGGATAAATGGAAGGCAAGGATATGAGGAGAATTAGGGTTTAGACCTTTGCTATTTAGAATGACCTCCAGAACAACATGATAGGCTGGGGACTGGTTAGAGGCACTGGATCTCGGGCCGCATCCCAGACTACTGAATTAGAATCTTCATTTTAATGAGATCTTCAAGTAATTTACAGACCTTAATGTTTGAGAAGCTTTCATTTAGAGAACACTTTCAAAGAAATGGATGAGAATGGAAAGAGATAGGGAGGGAACTAGAGGAACAAGGACCAAGATAAGGATTTTTTTAGGATGAGAGGTGTGTGAATGAATTTTCAGGCTAAGGGAAAAGATCTGAAATTGAAAGATGGAACAGGAAAGTCCTGGATGGAGCAAGTACTGGAGGTAGCTGAGGACCTCAGTTAAGAATAGAGGGGGTGAGAGGAAGCTGAGTTTGAAGAGACTTCTTCCAAGAGAAGAGACTAGGAGGGAATGAAATGCCATCAGAGGCACAGTGGCCTCTTTTATAG